ATATTCTTGGTTCCTCACTTCCTTTAAATTTCTTATTTCTACCCAGCCCTTCTCTTTGTAAGTCAGTAAGAAAAGGGTTGGACAGAATACATAACTCAAAAGTAACAAGATTTTTAAGAAAGTGAATCCCACCAAAATGCAATCATCTAAAATTCTGTTGTCATCTACTCATTCCTTTATTCATTCAACAAATGAGCCTTGTGAAGCCACCTGGAACCAGACACGCTATCCAACAAGATCGTCTCCAAGGGCAGGTAAAGTCACACCTCAAGAAAACAACTGCTATGGTTTAAATATGGTTTGTTTGGCCCCACCAAGTCTCACGTTGATATGTGATCCCTAATGTTGAAGATGGGATCTGGCAGGAGGTCTTTGGATTATGGGGGCAGATCCCTCATGCAAGGTTTATTGCCATTCTCTCAAGTGGGTAAGTTCCTGCTCTATTAGTTCCCACAAGAGCTGCTTATTTTTAAAGTGTCTGGCACCTCCACTTGCCTTTAATCTTGCCATGTGATTTTGGCATATGTCGGCTCCCCTTCATGTTCCACAATGACTGGAAGCAGGCTGAGTTCCTCCCCATAAGCGGATGCTGTTGCCATGTTTCTTGTACAGCCTGCAGAATGGTGAGCCAAATAAACCGCTTTTCTTTACAAATTACCCAGCCTCAGGTATTCCTTTTAGCAACATAAGTGGGCTAAAACAGAAAACTGGTACTGAAGAGTGGAGTGTTGCTATAAAGATACATGAAAATGTGGAAGCCATTTTGGAAGTAGGTAATAAGCAGAGGTTGGAAGAGTTTACAAAGCTTAGAAGCAGATAAAAAGACAAGGGAAAGTTTGGAACTTCTTAGACACTGGTTAAATGGTAGTGACCAAAATGCTGATAGAAATATAGACAGAAAAGGCTATACTGAGGAAGTCTCAGATGGAAATGAGAAACTTATTGGGCTCTAGAGCAAAAGTCACCCTCGTTACACCTAGCAAAGTACTTGCTGCATGGTGTTTGTCCCCTTGAGTTTTGTGGAAGGTCAAACTTAAGAGTGATGTCTTAGAGTATCTGGCAGCAGAATTTTCTAAGCAGCAAAGCACTCAAGGGGTGGCATGGCTGCTTTTAACAGCTTACAATCAGACATAAGAGTAAAGGAATGAACTAAAGTCAAACTTATCATTAAAAAGAAAGCAGAGCATAAAAATTGGGAAGTTCACAGACTGGCTGCATGTTCAAAAAGGAAAGAATATTTTCAGATGAGGAATCCAAAGATGCTGCAGAGCAACCACTTGCTAGAGCAATCGGTGTGGATAAAATGGAGCCAGGTGCTTATAGTAAAGACAATGGGAAAAAGGACCGAAAATTATTTCAGAAATATTTGAGGCTGCCCCTCCCATCACAGCTCCAGAGGCCTAGGAGGACAGAATGGTTTTGGGGAAATGGCCTGAGGTGCTGCTGACCTCTGAAGTATATTCCCTGAATCTCTGCCACAGCTCAAAAGGCCCCAGATGCTACTTGGTCTGCCACTCCAGTTGGAAGCCTTGGCATCTTCCACGTGCTGTTAAGTCTGAAGGTGTGCAGAATGTAAGAGTTGGGGAGGCTTGGCAGTTTCCACCTAGATTTCAGAGGATGTATCTAAAAGTCTGGATGCTCAGGCAGAAGCCTACTGCAGGTGTGGGGCCCCCACAGAGAGACTCAACCAAGGCAATGCAGAGCATAAATGTGGAGTTGGAGCTCTGCAGAGAGCACTTTACCAAGGCACTGCCTAATGGAGCCATGAAAGCAGGGCCACAGCACTCCAGACCCCAGAATTATGGAGTCACCAACATGATGCAATCTCAGCCTAAAAAAGCAACAAGCATTAAACTCCAACCCGTGAGAGCAGCCACATGGGCTCTGCCCAGCAAAGCCTTGGGGATTAGGCTGCCCAAGGCCTTGGGAACCCACCCCTCACACCACTGTGCCTAAGATGTGGGACATGAAGACAAGGAATATGATTTTGGAGACTTAGAGATTAATGTCTGCCCTGCTGGGTTTCAGACTTGTGTGGGAGCCTGTTACCCTTTTCTTTTGGCCATTTTCTCCCTCTTGGAATAGGATTGTTTTCCTGTATTACCATTGTTTTCCTGCCTGTATCACCATTGTACCTTGGGAGTAAAACCCTTATTTAGATATTACTGGCTCACAGCTGAAAGGAACTTGCCTTGAGTCTCAGGTGAGACTTTGGACTTCTGAGTTGATGCTGAAATAAATTAAGACTTTCCAGGATTATTAGGATGAGATGACTGCATTTTGCAATATGAGAAAGATGTGAGATTTGGGGGCCAAGGGTGGAATGTTATGGTTTGTATACATTTTGTTTGGCTCTGTCAAGTCTAATATTAAAATTTGATCCTCAGTGTTGGAGGTGGGGCCTGAAGGGAGGAGTCTGAGTAATGAGGGTGGATTTCTCATGAATTGCTTAGTGCCATTCTTGAGATAGTGAGTTCTCACTGTATTTGTTCTCACAGGGGCTTTTTGTTAAAAGAGTCTGGCACCTCCCTCCCCTTCTTGCCTCCATTATTGCCATGTGATTTCTGCACAGACCATCTCCCCTTTGCCTTCCACTAGGAGTGAAAACAGCCTGAAGCCCTCACCAGAAGCAGATGCTGGTTCTATGCTTCTTGTGCAGCCTGCAGAACTGTGAGCCAAATAAATCCCTTTTCTTTACACATTACCCAGCATCAGGTATTCCTTTACAGCAACACAAACAGACTAAGTCAACAGCCATAGCAAGATAACTGTAGAACTTCTGTAGGTTTGCCTTCAGATATTAAGTCCTGCATGTTTACCAGTCTTATCAATTTTATTCATAGCACATTCTTTCTTATTGCAATATCTTTACTCTTCTTCCTACTCTCTCTTTCAAATACTTTGCTGACATTTCTGACCCTTTTTCTTTTGCTCTGTCACCACATACTATATACACACACAAACACACATACATACCTCTTTATCTATCTCTAAGTCTGCTTTCTCGCCTCCTGGTCTCTGTCCTACCTCTATATTTCTATTGTTCTCTCTCTTTCCCTGTGTAGGCAGTGTGAAGACAGGATGGAGGCCAAAAGTAAGATGGACACTTATATTGAGCACATAAGAAAGCAAACTGATTGATAACATTCATTTTCATGCTTTCAGCTTGCTAAAAGTGCCCTAACGTGGTAACATGGATCTAACTTGCTGACAACCCTCATATAGCAACAGAATAATAATATCAATACATCCCACCTGAACAGTACTTTATATATTGCCATATGCTTTCAAATAGCATTTAATTTGCTGGAAGTCGAGCATTATTTATTCACAAGTGCGTACTTTCACAGACACAAACATACACAGAAACACCTCACACATTGGAATTAATTTATTTGGCAACCTCACCTTCTCAGAACACAGTTAACTTGAAAAAAAAAAACCCACTATTTTTAAAGGCCTTTAAGGAACTAAAGACAAATAGTTGTCGCAGATTCATAAATTAAAGTTTAGAAGTAAGACGTGTATAGAAAAAAGCACAGAGCATCTCATTTGAATAATTCATTCATTCACAAATATTTATTGAGTACTCACTATGTGAGGAAATATTCTAGGTAATAAAAAAAATAACAGTAAAAACATAAACCTGTCTAAATGGAGCTTTCATTCTTGGGGAGTAGGTGGGACAAACAATAATAAAGGAAAATTTATAATATAGTAGAGGATGAGAAGTTCTAAAGGAAAAAATAAATCAGGGAAGTTAAGAGAATTATTGTCAGAGGAAGAGAAACAGCAATGAATATATTCAGTAAGAGGTGACATTTGAGTAAAATAGCCTGATGCTACCATTTATTCTCAGTTTATTCATCTTTAAAATATAAAAAATAATAACCACTTCACAAAATTACTGGAAGTTTTAAGTAAACAAGTATACTCTAGCACATAGCCTGAAACTCATTAATTATTCAACAAGTGATAGATACGTCTTGATCTCATAAATTTCAGTCATCGCAGAGATCCTTATCTACTCAGAACCCATTTTTCTATAATTCACATGTAATTTTAACAAGATTACTTTCCTATTTTATTTATTTATTTTTCATTGTTTTGAGATGGAGTCACACTCACCATCACTCAGGCTGCCTCCACCTCCCAGGTTCAAGTGATTCTCATGCCTTAGCCTCCTAAGTAGCTGGGATTACAGCTCCTGCCACTACGCCCAGCTAATTTTTGAATTTTCTGTAGAGATGACGTTTTGCCACGCTGGCCAGGCTTGTCTCAAACTCCTAACCTCAAGAGATCCACCCATCTCGGCCTCCCAAAGTGCTGGGACCACAGGCGTGAGCCACTGTGCCTGGCCTATATTCTTATTTCTAAGCTCAGATATTTTAAGAAAGTATGTATGCATATATATGAGTATGTGTGTATATATGTATGTGTGTGTGTGACATCCATTTGGATTTGTACCACAAATTTAGACTTTCTGTGGTCTATAAACTCCCAAGCCAAGAAATTTACCTAAAAATTTATCTTAGAATATGATACCTCTGTTGTAATTGGAAGAAGCAAACATAATCTTCTCTAAAACACATATCCCCAACTTAGTCCTCCCAGAATGTTATATCCTTATATTAGTCCAGAATGTTATATCCTTATATTAGCCTTTATAGACTTGCACAGATAATGTCTCACAGAGGATGAATTCATAATCCCAAGTTAGTAAATCTTGAGGAAATAATCTACCATAAGTGAGATTCAACAAACACATAAAAATTATGATGGGAATCAAAACCAAAACCAAATCAAAACAAAACAAAAAATTTCAGGTAATAGAAATATCTGCTAAAATCTATAAAATACATTCTTCAAGAATATTTAAGAATTAAAAAAGAAATTGAAACCATAAAATGAACACAACTCTGTGAATAATGCCTTGAAAACCCGAGTATCTGGGAGTGACATTAACAAGATAGCACAGAATAGGAGCTTTCAGCACGTACCTTTCAAAGAAACATCAATTTGAACTACCATCCATGCATGAAGATACCTTCACAAGAGCTAAGGAACCCAGGGGAAAGGTTATGGCACCTGTGTGGAACACAGAAATAAGAAAAAACATGTTGACGAGGGAAAGAAAGACAGTTTCATATTACCCATATCATTCACCCATGACCCAAGCCTGTGCAGCATGCACAGAGAGAGACCATCTGTGTGGGGGAAGGAGACTGATCACCCAACTTTGCCACAGACCACAGGACTAGACCAGCCCCAGTGAACCTTAGAGCCAGGCCAGCCCCTATAGCTCCAAGCCCACTCCAACAACAGGCCAGCCCCACAACGCCCCCAGGCCGGCCCCTAAGCACCCGGACTCCATACAAGCCTACCTCAGCTCCAGGACACCTTCCACAAAGGGAGGCTCCAGGACTGCCCCAGAACCAGGCCCATGTCTTATGGACCAAGGTATCAGGCCCAAATACCCACAGATGAGTCACCAAGACAGTCTACCCAAGGACTTCAGCAGCAAACCTGCTCATAGGCCTCACCAGCTGTTCCAGCCTGAATCCCTGGACAGGCTGATTTGTAAACAGTTTTCCATGCTGCAGTCAGTTGCAAAGACTGCAAGAGATGCCTACTTCCTCAAATGCACAGACACCAACGTAAATCCACAATGATCACAATCAGGGGAACTTGATACCAACAAAGGAACAAAATAAAGCACTAGTTACTGACCCTAAAGAATTCGAGACCTAGAAACTATGTGACAAATATTTCAAAACAATCATCTTAAAGAAGTTCAGTCAGTGATACTAGAACACAGACAACAAAATGAAATCAGGAAAACAATATATGAACAAAATGAGAAGTTCACCAAAGAGATAGAAGCCATAAAAAGTCAAACATAAATTCTGGGGCTGAAGAATACAATGACTGAACTAAAAAAATTCCATAGAGAGCTTCGGTGGCAGAACTTGATCAAATAGAAGAAAGAGTCAGTGAGTTCGAAAACAGATTGTGGGAAATTATTCAGTTAGAGGAATAAATGTTTAAAAAAAGAATGAAAAAAGCTTATGAGACTTATGGGACAGCATCAACGGAAGCAATATATGCATTATAGGAGTTTGAGAAAGAACAGAGAAAGTAAAATAAACAGCATATTTACAGAAATAATGTCAGAACACTTTCCAAACCTGGATACGTAAATGAACATTCAGATCCTTGAAGCCCAAAGAACCCCAAATAATTAAACATAAAGAGATTTTCACCAAAACATATTATAATATTATAATCATATTCTCAAAAGTGAAAAATAAAGCGAGAACTTTGAAAGCAGCTAGAGAAAAGCTATTTATCACATACATGCATACTTCCATAAGACTATCAGTTGATTTCTCACAAAACCTTTGCAGACCAGGAGAGGGTGGGTTGATATAATAAAAGTAATGAAAGACAGAAACTGCTAACCAAGAATACTATACCCAGCAAAGCTGCACAGAAATAAAGGAGAGATAAAGACTCCCAGACAAACAAAAGCTGAGGAAGTTCATCACCACAAGACCTGCCTTACAATAAATGCTAAAAGGAGTCTTTCTAGTTGAAACAAAAGAATACTAACTAAAACATGAAAACATATGAAAGTATAAAATGCACTGTAAAGGTAAGAATATAGTCAAATTCAGAATAATATTGTAGTAGTGGTGTTTAAAGGACTTTCAACCTCAGTATAAGAATTAAAAGATGAAAGTATTAAAAATAACTATAGCTACAATAATGAAATTAATGAATATATGCAGTATAAAATATATAAATTATGACATCATTAAAATAACATGTGAGGAGATGAGAAGTGAAAGTGTAATGCTTTTGTATGCGGTTGAAATGAAGTTGTTCCTAGCTTAAAATAGACTACTATAACTATAAAATGTTTTATGGAAGCCCCATGGTAATCCCACACCAAACAAAACCAAACAAAAACTATAGTAGATATACAAAAGATAAAGAAAAGAGAATCAAAGCATAACCCTCCAAAAATATCATCATATCACAAATGTAGATAGCAAGAATGGAAGAAAGGAACTACAAAACAATCAGAAAACAATGAATAAAATGTCAATAGAAAGTCTTTACTTATCAATAATTACTTTAAATGTAAATAGATTGAATTCTTCAATCAAAAGACACAGAACAGCTGAATGGATTCTTTTAATCCAACTATATGCTACCTACAAGAGACCTATTTTATCTTTAAAGAACAAACATAGGCGAAAGGGAAGGAATGTAAAAGTATATTCCATGCAAATGGTAAACAGCAGAGAGCAGGGGTGGCTATACTTATGTCAGCCAAAACAGATTTTAACTCAAATACTGTCACAAGAGATAAAGAGGACATTATATAATAATAAAGAGGTCAATTCATCAAGAAGCTATAACAATTATAAATATATATGCACCCAAAGTCAGAGCACCTAAACATACAAAGCAAATATTAACAGAGCTGAGGGGAAAACAAACAGTAATATAATACTAGTAGAGACTTCAATACCTCATTTTCAAGGATGGATAGTTCAGGCAGAAAATAAAAAAGAAACAGCAGACTTGAAGGAAACTATGTGAGGTAATGTATATGATAATTAGCTTGACTGTGGTAATCATTTCACAATAAATATGCACAAAACATTATGTTATAAACCTGAAAGATACTTACCGTTTTATTTGTCAGTCATAGCTCAATAAAGCTGGGGGGAAAAGAACTTCTTGAAAAAAAAACATATTTATTGAAAGTAATGACTCAATGGATACTTTACAAAGCAGATTATATTCAGTTGAAGAGAAAATTATTAAACTAGACATGAAGAAACCATACAGAACAGAGACAGAAAGATAAAATAACAAACTTTCTTTCTAAAGAAAGCAAACTTTCTCGACATGATAAAAGGGTCATTTTTAGGACATTGTAATTAATGGGAAGTATTACAACCATTTCTTCACAAGTGAGGAATAAGTCAAGAAGGCTGCTGTTCAAAGTTGTGCTGGATGTCTTAGGCCATACAATAAGCAAGAGAAAAAAATACATAAAGATTTAAAAATAAGTAAAAGAAAGAAATAAGACTCTCAGTATTCATTGACTATGCAATTGATTCAATAGAAAAATTTGAGAAAGTCTATAAACTATTAGTATTAAAAAGAGAGTTCAGTAAATTTGCTAGGCATAAAATCAATAAGTAAAATCAAATCAACTTTTAGAAAATGTGATTAACAAAAGAACTATTTGTAATAGCAGCAAATTATAAGATATCCAGTATTAAATTGCAAATTGCAATGGTATTCAAGACCTTATGATAGAAACTGAAACTTTAGCCAAGGGTGGTGGCTCATACCTGTAATCCCAACACTTTGGGAGGGTGAGATGAGAGTATTTCTTGAGTTCAGGAATTTGAGACCAGCCTGGGAAAAATAGTGAGACCCCAAATCTACCAAAAAAAAAAAAAAAAGGGAAATGTGTTGAAAATCATAAAAGATGTAATTCCAATCAAAATCCAAACTGGAAACTATATAGAATTTTCAAAAGCTGACTCTCACTTATATGGAAGACCAAGAAGTCAAGAATGGCAGATACAATCGTGAAAAAAAAATCAAGGGGAAATCTAGGCATTAAGGACCTTCTATGCAGACTGGGTGCAGTGGCTCATGCCTGTAATCCCAGCACTTTGGGAGGCTGAAGCAGGGGATCACCTGAGGTCAGGAGTTCAAGACCAGTCTGGCCAACATGGTGAAAATACAAAAATTAGCCAGTCTCTACAAAACTTAGCCGGGCGTGGTGGTAGGTGCCTATAATCCCAGCTACTGAGGAGGCTGAGGCAGGAGAATCACTTGAACCCAGGAGGTGTAGGTTGCAGTGAGCCGAGATCATGCAATTGTACTCCAGCCTGGGCGACAGGGCAGGACTGTCTCAAAATATATATATATAGCCACACTGTAGTAGCACAAAAGTGGTGAGGTGCTGCACGCCTGTAGTCCCAGCTACTCCAGAGGCGGAGGCAGGAGAATGCTTGAACGGGGAGGCAGAGGTTGCAATAAGCCAAGATCACGCCACTGCACTCCAGCCTGGCAACAGAGCGAGACTCCGTCTCAAAAAAAAGTGGAAATAACTGTCCTGTAGTAGGAATATGGATTTAAAAACTATGGTTTGTTCAATCAATTATCATAGAACAGTTAAAATGATCTTATGTATCAAAATAGATACATGTCAAGACATAATACTGACGAAAAATAAAGTTATAGAAGATTGTATACAATATATCATCTATTTAAAGCTTTAAAATATACAAAATTATATATCCTGTATACATCGAATACATGGTAATGATATACAGTCATGCATCACTTAAAGTCTGGAATATATTCAGAGAAATGTGTTGTTAGGCAGTTTCATCAGTGTGCAAATATCACAGCGTCTATTTCCACAAACTTCGATGGGACAGCCAACTACATACCTAGGATATATGGCACAGTCTATTGCTCCTAGGCTACAAACCTGTACAGAATATTTCTGTACTGCATATTGTAGGCAATTGTAATACAATAGTAAGTATTTGTGTATCTAAACATATCCAAACATAGAAAAGATATGGTTAAAACACTGCATTATAATCCTATGGAACCACTGTCAAATATGTGGCCTGTCATTGACCAAAAAAACTTCGTTATGTGGTGCATGACTGTACTCCTATTTCAAGAAAGGACTTACCTCTGGTAAAGGAGAAAAAAATATTTTTAAAATCTGTGTCTTTAACAACTGTTCTTTTAAAAAAGAGACCTTGTGTAAATAGGACATGATGTAAATATGTCCTTTTTTTAAAAAAGAGACCTTGTGTAAATAGGACATGTGTAAATAGGACATATGTAAATATGATTTATCTGTTTAATTTTGTCAGTACATACATTGTTATCTATTATACTAATTTATAATATTTTATGTGATCATGTTGTCCTTTAAAATGAAAATGTAAATGACTCAAACCCTCACCTTACTTATAGCATATAATGTACAGAAGTCTTTCCAATATTTCTTTGGAATTTCAGGAGATTTACACTTGGCTAAATGAGTTCCTGTTCTGTGAGCATCTTTCTTTGTCCCCTGATCCCTGGCTCTGGGCTTCTGCCAGCCTCAACTGCTCGGACAACAGGTCTCAGTCTTCCCTCAATATGTTCCTTCCACCAACACATCAGCATAGCAGAGGGAGTCTTAGAGGAGGGGTGCATTGCTCCTCAAACCCCATTATCATTATGAACACGGAGCTCCTGTTTATGGTAGATTTGTACTGATAGTTGAGGATAATGAAGGATTACAGCTTAATATTTAAATAAAATATTCTAAAAGCTCATTCAGCCATTTCCACCTCTATGTTAGGCCTACATTGTTTCCATCTTCCTGGGTTTTTCTCTGAGGCACAGATGCACCCCCCCCCACCCCACCAAACATACACACATTCTACCTGCTCTGACTGCCAGTCTCCTACCTCCAAATTCTGTTAGTCCTTCTGCAGAATAGTTTTGTTCTTCACCCTTGCCTCAAACTAAGTTTTAGGTCTACCTTTGCACATCCAAAATATGAATTCCTTGCTAAACAAAGGGCTTTCTATTCAAGGTCATTACTGTTGAACTGCACAAAAAAAAGGAAAAGCTTTAAAATTACAGGCTTTCCTTTAGCATGATCACATTTTTTAAACGACAGCTTATCCCTACAAGTCTTTCTGAAAATAGAAGGAAAACAGTATGAAAATTCACTCTACCTCTCTCCAGAATAGATCTACAAGAGTGGTGAGTCTCTTCCAGTCCCCTCACCCACAATTTACCCAACCTTGCTTCATACACACATATATCCACGTGTTAAAAGCTCTGAAATCTTGGTCCATTTAGCAAAGGGCAAACAATTCCATATATTTGAGTTGTTACTGAAGAAATATGTGTATTATTACCTGTATTAAAATGAATGCCCATAATGATGGTGCTTTAAATGTTTATGGCATTCTACAGTTTACAAGGAACTTTTACATAAAACAACCTGAAAATAAATATGTAGGGTCCCACAAATCATTTTTAGTAAAACTGAAGCTACAGTCCAGTTCTCTTGACTTCCAACACAGTGCCTTTTCAACCCACCGTGTTGTCTCCAGCCCCATGATGCCAAGAAAAGGTTAGACTCATGTCAGAGTACTATTGAAAGGATAAAGCAAAAGGAAATGTAGAAGATGTTAGAAATAGATCATTTAAAAGTTTAAGGCTGGTAGATGAGTGTCTAGGACAGTCCGTAACACATAGTAGACACTCAATAATTATTTGTTGAATTAATAAATAAAATGTCACTTCTGAGCTGTTTAAAATCACAATCTAGTTACCCAGAATGATTCAAGCGTTTTAAATGGCTGTGATGGTGCTACATGGGATACAGAACGATGCCTTTATGTACATAGATGTATCCATACATTTCCCATAGCCATCGTCTCTTTCTTGCCATCTAATTGTACACAAAACCACATTAGAAAGTGTAAATTATAAACAGTTAATAATAAATATATCCAACAACATAAAAACCGTACCTAGAGAAAGACACTGAGATTCAGATAAGATTGTTTTACAAATTTAAAAATTTACAAATTTAAGATGTACCATATAGAGGACTTTTGGGTAATGTGGAGTGAAACTAGACTTTCATAAAAGAAAGAATATGTCTGATATCCTTCTTCCTGGTGCTAAAAACAGGGTTAATAGGAAGTGAAGTCAAACCCTTGACTGTGACTGACATGAGGGAGTAAAATCTGCTCCGAGAATGGGACACATCAGAGAGCAGAGTTCTGGTCTAGGCTCAGAAAGCACTTCCAGGTGGCTGAGCAAACGGCAGTCTTCTATTTGGCAGAATTTGCTTCAGGGAGTAAGAGAAGAGAGGAGATTCGAAGAAAAAGAGTGAAGATTATGTTCTAAATCACTGATAAAAATATTATAATTAAACCACATTGGAAATGTATTTATTTATTTTTATTTTATTATGTGGGGAAAAGAAAGAGAGATCAGCCTGTTACCGTGTCTATATAGAAAGAAGTAGACATAAGAGACTCCATTTTGTTCTGTATTTGAGATGCTGTTAATCTGTGACCCTACCCCCAACCCTGTCCTTGCAAGAGACATGTGCTGCGTTGACTCAAGGTTTAATGGATTTGGGCTGTGCAGGATGTGCCTTTGTTAAACAAGTGCCTGAAGGCAGCTTGTTGGTTAAAAGTCATCACCATTCTCTTAATTTCAACTACCCAGGGACACGTACACGGCCAACGGCCAAAGGTCGCAGGGACCTCTGCCTAGGAAAGCTAGGTATTGTCCAAGGTTTCTCCCCATGTGATAGGCTGAAACAATGCTGCTAAAAGGTTTATGGAGATGTTTGCATATGCATCTCAAGGCACAGCATTTTCCTTTAAACTTATTCATGTCACAGAGGTTTTTTGTTCATATGTCTTACTGCCGATTTCCTCCCTACAATGATCCTATTGTCCTGCCACTCCCTTATCTTTAAGATGGTAAAGATAATTATCAATAAATACTAAGGGAACTCAGAGACCGGTGCTGGCGTGGGTCCTCTGTAAGCTGAGCGCCGGTCCCCTGGGCCCACTTTTTCTTTCTCTATACTTTGTCTCTGTGTCTCATTTCTTTTCTCAAGTCTCTTGTTCCACCTAAGGAGGAACACCCACAGGTGTGGAGGGGCAGGCCATCCCTTCATCATTATACTTTAAGTTCTAGGGTACATGTGCACAACATGCAGGTTTGTTACATATGTATACATGTGCCATGTTGGTGTGCTGCACACATTAACTCATCATTTCCATTAGGTATATCTCCTAATGCTATCCCCTCCCCCATGCCCCCACCCCACGACAGGCCCCGGTGTGTGATGTTCCCCTTCCTGTGTCCAAGTGTTCTCATTGCTCAATTCCCACCTATAAGTGAGAACATGCGGTGTTTGGTTTTTGTCCTTGCAACAGTTTGCTGAGAATGATGGTTTCCTACAAAGGACATGAACTCATCCTTTTTTATGGCTGCATCGTATTTCATGGTGTATATGTGCCACATTTTCTTAATCCAGTCTATCATTGATGGACAATTGGGTTGGTTCCAAGTCTTTGCTATTGTGAATAGTGCCACAATAAACATACGTAGCACACCGGAAATTTATAACACTAACCAAAATATCAGCAATCCCTATCTAGCAAAAATACTAGCGTGTCATTAAGTTACCAGCAAAGAACACACAGGAGAAGAGAGAGGTCTGCATTTTCATCAAACCACAGTAATCCTGGTAAGGGCTCTATAGCCGGTTAAGGCATTCTAAGTCACAGGATGAGATAGGAGGTCAGCACAAGATACAGGTCATAA